TTCGAAGATTTAATGTAAGTGACTCAAATGCTGTGTTCGACATACTTACGGATGACGAAAGCTGGATTTATTGTTATGATCCTAAAACTAAGAGACAGTCTGCTTTGCCAACTAATGTGAAAAGAGTTCTACGCGTGGGAAAAAAGACGGTGGACTCGTTCTTCGGAAGGACAGGTCATTACTCAACAATTGTTTTAGAGGATCGAAAAACAGTTACTGCAGAATGGTACACTAATAATTGTTTGCCACTTGCCTTGGTACCCTGTGAAAGTTTACACATAGATATTATTTTTCTAATCAACCATAAAAATGTATTACGTGTGATGGGAATATGTACATAAGAATAAAGGTTTTCTCACACGGGACAGTAATAATATTATATTTTTCAGTATTTAAATATAAAAAAACTTTTAAAATCTCTAAATCCCGATGTATGTCCATATTGAGAGGCTGAATAGAGCAAAATTATTCTCATGGGGATCGTTTTGTGATTTCACATCGTTATCGAAAAAAAATCTACTTACAATTGAGCGTATTCCAGGTGGCGGTTTTCAAAACACGATGCCACAAAATTCACTCAATAGAATAATAATTGCAAAGTAGCTTCTGAGAATACTTAAATTTTCAACTTTCTCAGATTTCCATAAAATAATGTTGAGTATAATAATGAGTAAAAAATGTTTCACATGTTAATAAAGCTATTGGGCTATTTTGAGTATTAAAAAGTGATTTTACCTTTAATTTAAATAATTTATTTTGCCCTTCTATACCAAGTAGCGTTTTTTTAGTCTGTCACTTCTATTGAATTTGACAGTGCTTGCTGAAATATAGCGTCTCTAGACGGATATGATTCGCGCGCTGACACAGCTGTTAAGGTATTGCAGAAATAATCGAAATATTTATTTTTACTTTCATGCCGAAGACTATCTTGTTCTATTTTTCTTAGACCTTCGGGACTTCATTAGACGAGACCTCTCCAACTTAACGCTTAGGTTCAGTGTGCCTCTAAACATTCGGTGATCGCTACCAGTTTTCACCCTCGCGATCACGGAGACATCACTGAACAGTTGTTGTCTGGTCGTCATAATGAAGTCAATCTCATTTTTTGTCGAACCGTCGGGGCTCGACCAGGTCCACTTCCTGTGGGGCCGCTTCTGGAAGAAAGAGTTCATCATAAAGAGTCCCTCTTTCTCCATGAAGTCGGCCAGCTGCTGGCCCCTTGGGTTCCGTTGCCCTATTACAAATTTCTCCACTTTCAGCTCACCGTTATCTCTTGTGCCTAGTTTTGCATTGAAGTCTCCCATTAACACCGTATATTGGGTTTTGGAGGAATGCATGGCTCTAGAGATATCCTCATACATTTCCTCCACCTCCTCATCGGGGTGTGCTGAGGTTGGTGCGTAAACCTGTATGACCTTCAGTGAATACCGTTTGGTGATTCTGAGTATAAGGTACGCAACCCTCGTCGACACACTCCTGATCTCTACAACGTTGTTAACGAGAGACTTGTGGACGATAAATCCGACACCTCCTTGGCACAGATGGTCGCTCTCCCGGTACTAGAGCAAGTTGCCGGATTTGAGGATTACCGTGTCCTCCCCCTCTCTTCGGACTTCGGATAATCCTCCGTCAGTCCTCAGGGTGCGTGCGTTGTATGTTGCCAGGTCGAGTCGTCTTAGCACCCCCTGCCCCGCCGTTACCATGGTCTGGGGGCCCGTTTCTTTGTTACTGTCATCATAGGGGGTATTTGCCATAGTCGCCACGCTTGGCGAGCGGGTTGGCAACCGCAGTTTTTTTTAATTGTAAGTTGTTGTTATCAGGAAGATGCTGCTGCCCATCTCCTGCCTGTTTCCCTTTGTCGCCTTTTACGACACCCACGGGAAGATATGGGTTAGTGGATATTCTTAACCGTCACTACATGGCACTACACGGTTAAATGTTGTAAAGCAAGTATTTACAAATGTTTTCATTATTTTGTTATGCAATTGTTTACAGTTATTATCACTTATCATTATTATTATTTATTTTTATTTATTATTACAAATGGGTCCTTATTTTCGTCAACAACTATAATATATATATATATTTTTTTTTCAAGTGGCACTTCAACGCCAATAATTATTTGATTTTCAGTCGGTGTTTTAAATTTGAAGATCAGTTATAATTGACGAGACATTTTGCAAAAACTAAACCTAAGTTTTGGGTAAAACAAATATTGTCAGTTTCAAAGAAACACGACTAAGTTCATATTAAAATAAATGCAAGTCATTACAAGATTTCTATGTAACAGGAAGGCTACCGATAAGACTTCTTAAAAAGTTCAATGTTTTATTTTGTTTACTTAAATTTGAGACTAAAATAATGTGAAAGGTCTTTTATCTGCAATAATAATTTTAAAACACGACTAAGTTCATATTAAAAGAAATGCACGTCATTACAAGATTTCTATGTAAAAGGAAGGCTACCGATAAGACTTCTTAAAAAGATCAAATTTTTATTTTGTTTACTTAAATTTGAAACTAAAATAAATATGAAAGGTCTTTTATCTGCAATAATAATTTTCATCAAAAATAGCATAGACTTATAAAATTCATACACACGGTCAATCATACTGAAGATGATTAATTGTATTATAAAATATTTAATAGACTATTGCCAGACCCAAATATCATCATTAATGTATGAATGGCACACTTCAAAGTTTTCAGATCATTTTATTATAAGGTCATGCTTTTCTATAAAAAGATGCAAGAATTTTAAATCATGGGCCTCCCGGTTTGTTCTACTGTTTACTTAATTAGCGAAATACGAGGTGGACTGATTTCAAAGTTTACTTTCATGTGCAAAAAGTGCTAATTAGAATTTTATGGAGATGAAAATTACAGTTTCTATGTAAATAGGTGTAACATAGCAGGTATTATATTAATTGGTAGCGGCCATTCATATTTGGGACAGTTTTCTGCAGCACTACGCCTACAAATTATTTTAAATAAGAAATACCAAAGCCAGCATCATTTTTAACACGTTTTTATTAGCTTGATATAATATGTATCTATGAAACGGAATTTTTGAATGTGATTTTCATCTCTTTCAAAACGTTACATTAATTTGAAACATTGCACACATATTAAGGACCGATGACAATGCAATGATTTAAATAGTTTGTACCATTATCCTTGCCAGGATCCTCAGGATTTGCGAATAATTCATGAAAAAACTACGATTTCTGCCAGTTCAATCTACTGTAACCCGCGTAAAAGAACTTCGGTCCAAAAAAAAAACATGATTTTGTAGTTTGCCGCACTAAAAAATAGAAAATAAATAATAGTTTTAAAAAACTAAATAAACTCGCTTTTGTAGATAACACAGAACTAAAAAGTAGAAAATAATTTTCAATAAGTTTCAAATAAGAGAATAGTGATTAACATAAAAAAATAATTTTATTCTAAAAAAGCGTGGGGTGTGTGATGTCATTTGTTGTAAATATTTTTGTAAAATTAGCGTTCACATAAAAATATCTGAAAAAACACCCCACGAGGTTATCTACAAACGCGTGTTTCTTTTTAGTTTTTGTTTAAACTATTATTTTCAGTACAGGACCTGGCAAAGTGTTGCTCAAGGCACTATGAATAAAGCAGCTAATAAAAATGTTACACTCATAACTGTTAACAAAAATTGTTATTACAAATGGTCTTATAGAAAAAACTATTCACCTTTGATAGGTAAACTATAAATACGAAAATTCTGAATAAAGATATAGCTTAAAAGACAATCATCCAAGCCAAAAATCTTATTAAAAATCTTTGTTGTAACGAATGACAGTCACAGGACTATGGAGTGTAGAGTAGAAGGAGGACCATCTCTGTATATGAAAAGTGTCCATAAAAACGTGTCCAATAAGGGTGGCGCTGCAGTAGCATAGGATAAATTAAAAAAGAAGCGTCAAAAGTATTTAGAATAAGATGGAGAAATAAATAAGGACCGATCAATCCGCTTGGTTTTGTACTACGTAAATAATTGAGATTTTGTATATTGTCGTTTTACTAAGTACTCTAGTCATGAAATATTTGAATTCAGCTGACTTCACTCCGTTCATAACAGCTATCTTCATATCGTAGTTTTTCAGACGCCAGCGCTATTGTGGTAGGTTTTGGAACCTCTATTTACAGTAAATAGTAGGACACTTTTTCAACCTTCGCTCCTTATAAGATGGTTCTCCTTCTACTCTACACTCCATACACAGGACTATACCTTTTAAGCCTGCTTTTCACTATGGGATATAATATAATATATATTAAATCTCGAGATATAAATTAATATCGCTCACCATACATTTCGTAAGGAACCGTTTACACTGAGCTATAATATATATTACATCTCAAGCTATAAATATTTTTTCGATCGACCGAGCGATATTTTCATATTATATTTCGTCCCCTGTACCACGCATACCGTTCCGCGCCCTCGCAGAACGGTCTACGGGGTAAAGGGGGGTAATCCAATGACCAATGACGAACGCACACTGGTTAAAAGATATATCTCACAGTGTGAAAGCCAATCGCGGGATATAATTTATATTTCGGGATATAATATATATTATATCCCATAATGAAAAGCCAGCCTTACCTTTGTATAAAATGTAAAATGACACTGACCTGACCACTGACTAAGGCCCGCCTCATACATACCATAGATAAATAAATATGTAGTACATACGGAATTCCGTTTCGGAATTCCGAATGGGTCGGCCACACACATGCGGAATCCCGTTTTGCCCTCAAACTTTCGGACGGAAAACTACCGTACGTGTGTGACGGGTCATAGATTTTATATGAACTTGCTGCGTTCGGAATCTTGAATCGTGTGTGGCCGACCCGTTCCGATTCCGAAACGGAATCCCGAAACGGAATTCCGTATGTATATGGCGGGCCTTAACTGGGTATGGACCTGACAGTCATAGATTACTGTATATATACTGACACTGTCAGTCTGACAGTAACAGTTAAAGATTGTACTTGAAGTTGAAGGACTGTTTATTTTCGATAAATTACTAACTTTTATTGCTTTTGAAAAATGATCGAGTTTTTGAATAAATTACAAAATTTACAATTAGATAGTCTGAGTGAAGAATGGGTGGATGCTATATTTCATTCTGAATTTTTGGAATTTGGAGATTTACCCTCAGAATTTGAAAGTGCACTCGAGGCGTTCGAAATAAAGTTTGTTTTGAGAGATATAATGTTAAGTTTAGATAACTGGTTGAATGAGGAACCATCTATTAGTGAAGAAAAATCATGGGCTATTCTTTCACATCAAACACATCATCAAAAACTTTTATGCATTCTCGCTTACTTCATCGATTATGGAAATAAAAATGTACTTAATAAAGAACATCGTGATATCGCAATGTTGTCTTCACGTCTGTATTATAAACTGCTCTCTATACCTGGTTATAAAGCATATCATATCTACCATTCTCAATTGTTTGTGCACTCCTTGGCATGTCTGAGTTTTCCTAAAACAATGTGTGATAATGAAGATAATTATTTTAATGTCAGAGAATTAACCTATGAAGTGAATGCAACAATAAAGGAGTTGCAAGATTATGTATATGACCTAAGAAACATTATTAAAAATTTACAGTTAAAAGTGCATGATATGAATTTTGAAGAAATCTTAAGTAATCTAGTTGATGTAACAGGTGGTGCTATAGTCATTAGGTTAAATATAGGTTAGTATTAATAACTAAATATATTTATATAAGTAAGGTAACACTCAGTGGTAACTGGATGCTAGATGGGCCACAAAATTTACTAAAGCAATAAAAAAGACTACCTTAAATTTTTTTAGGGAATGATTAGAATGTCTGACCAAACTGGCTTCGGCTACCTTTGACCAAAAAAACTCACAGTTTTAGAGCAATTGGGCCAAAGTTTTAGCCAAAGCCGAAGTTTTCTAGCAAGTGCCTACATTGAATTAACTGTTACAAATGAGCAAAAGCATAATGAATGTGGTGACGTACCTTATATGATCTCTAGGTAAACTTTTATATATTATTAAAATTACCTTGTTTTTCTTTTTTTTTTGATAGCTGTAAACACCCATTTTTAGCCGACTTCAAGTAAAGCAGTAAATTCTCAAAAGTTGTTTACGTGGTACTTTTTTGCAGCTATATTATGGTTGGAGCACGAATGGGTTGGCTCGAGCGGGGAAGGACCAAACTCTCATAGAATACCAGAGTAAAATAGAAAATTAATGCTGCTGTGTTTCGTATGGTGAGTGTAGAGAACCAGAGACCCTTTTTTCTGGAAACGAGGCATTCCATTGTAGTCCTCAGGTGAGAAAACTTATCTGCATTTTCATTCCTAATTAAAAATAAATTTAGATGTCTATGGGCCAAAGCATCCAATTACCATCAGGTGGACTGTGTGCTCGTTTGTCATTTTATTCTATTAAAAATAGGATCAGAAATGGATGTATTCTTCATTATACATATAACAAATGTACAATCATGTCTAAAATCGCTAAGCTTATTCGGTAACATTTTATTGTCAACTAATCGCACACATTTTATTGTCTTTTGCAAGGGTCACTGACCCTAATTATTCAGACAGACTGATTTGTGCAACTGACTGTCGTAACTTTATTCTTAAAGAAATTATTAATTTATTACCTATACCTATATTTTCAGACAGAGCAGAATTGGCAAAGGTATCTGGTTGTATATATGAAATGATTGACTTATTAATTTGCGACTCCAGTGGGTGTCCTAGTCCTGAAGCAATTCAACTTGTCTTCAAGTGCCTTCTTCCAAAACTTGTTGCAGCTTCAATTGATAGTAGAAATGCTAATGTAAGTGATTTCAATTAATAATTATACTAATCCTTGATTATTACATATAATTACATAATTATACTTACTAATCCTTGTTAGAGTCCACTATACAAAATCTAAAATCGATATGAAGGTTCAAACTTTTATGAGGGACAGATCACACTTTTGTTAATATAGTTCTAAAATATATTACGCGGAAATGTGTAGTTTTCGAGATATTATATTTATTTTTTGTTTCTTTTATATAATGTACGCTAATATTTTAGACTTAAAACATATTTGTGATGTTTTAACTAGTGTCCGACCGAAACAGGATTTTCAACCAACCACCAACAAACCGAAACCGAACTTTCGGTCTGGGTGTCAGTTTCGGCCGAATCCGAAACTTATTTAGACATGTAAATTTTTTTTATTGTATACTAAAATCTGGTATATTTTTTATACATATATACAGATAGGTAATGCATGTTAATGAAAAACAGTTATTGTAATAGTCATGTAGTAATATATCTATTTATTTTAAAGTAAAAATCAACAATTTAACGTTAAGAAATACTTTTTTAAGTACACTTACACCCATAAAGTGTTCACAATATTGTTTATTTAGTTTAGTTATTCAATGAGAGCATTAACTTAATATGTCACACTCACACATACAATATACACACAACTTAACAAAATCTCAGAAAATATACAAAACCTGCTTAAAGTTCAAAAACTTTTAATAAACTAAGTTTGTATAAAAAGGGTTATTATAATATTTAGGAATTTATGAATGATAATAGCCCCTGGGAATGAGGTGATCACTACCAAGCTATTTCTAATTTGTTTTGTGTTGTTAATTGTGTTATACATGACGACGAGGCCCCCTAAAATGCAATGCCCCCAGACTTTACCACAGATGACTAATTAATTTGATTACTTATACGCTTGAAAAAGAAAGTCACAAATTTAAGTGAGTTTGTTTGGGGCCTCTCAATAAGCCCCTCTTAAATGTGACTGCGAGGCCGTTGTAACTACCTTCAAAGACTGCGATTGTTACAGTGACGGAATATGAGACATGTCAGGAATTAATAGATATGAGTAGGTACATATGTCGAGTCAATTCATGTTTGGTAAGATAGATTTATTAGGTAGATCCTTGGAACTAAATAAAAGGGGCCTCGCTGATGCAACTTCGCCCACGTTTATATTAGTCCACGTTACGCCTCTGATTGTAAGCTGTTATTTAAAAAAAAAGTCCCGCTGAGTTTCTTGCTGGTTCTTTCAAGGACAGAGGCTTTTTTTTCGAACCAGTGGTAATTAAACAAAATAGGGACTTTCAATAAGTATTATTTACAATCTATATTGAATTAAAAAGTTTCTGTTTCTGTATAATTATGAATAATACACAAGTTACGAACTCATCCGAAAGACGCACGATAATCCACGAATACGGAGTTTCGGCGCCGCCGAAGGTTCGGCAGATTTTTTGCCGAAACCGAAACCGAACCTTTGGTCGGTCACTAGTTTTAACGTGAGCTTTTACAATTTTCAACCGATTTAAAAAATACTTTGGTATATATTATTTTATATTACGTAATTTTCATTTATAATATCAAACTCACTTACTTTTTTCTGTTCACAAATAAATCAACAAAACAAACAAAGCACAAAAACTATGCGACCACAGTTATAATACAACTAAAAGAGTGAAAGATACGACTACATTTTGCCAATTGATGCCAAAAATGTTTAATATCAATCATAATACAAAGGCAAGCCAAATATCGATATTACATATTTTGCACTGTGCCAAATCATTTAAAAAATAAACTGTTAAAAATATGTAAAAGTAAAGTTTACGTACATACCACACTGCTGGCTATAGGCCTCCTCTCATCACTGAGACGAACTTTTATGTTTTGTCGAAAATTCTTACCTAAAGTGGGAGATGACAAAAAGTAGAATTGGTAAGCACGAAATTAATAAAGAAAGAGAACTGGCATAGGGGAATAATCATGCGAGGTGAGTCCATTGGGTTGAATGGTCGATCGTTTGTAGCGGCAAGTTTAAAATTGTTGATTTTACCTGAAGCCGCGAGTCAATCGCGCGCTCCTCTGCTAGTTCGACGTGATCACACACAAACAACTTCATGCGTTTGATATTACCGCTAGCGCGCCGCGCGCCATAGTCGCTGGCTTGCCCGCTACCCACTTCCACCGCACCTGCCTTTTGTACGCGAACACTTGCATATCATGCTGTGTTTGTTATTTCGAGACCGCGCTCGCCACCGCGCCTGCGAGTTAACGTGAACAAACACTGAGAGAGTTTTGGGGCAAGGAAATGTACGCTGCCAATGCGTGTTGGCGAATTTTACATATCTTCGAAATATTTGTTTAATTTCTCAGATCCTTCAATAACGAGTACGTGGTAAATCAGCACTTAAAATTTGCAATTAACAATTTCATGTTATGTGTTCGTACATGCGAAATTTTCAGCAAACACCTAGCCCCTGACCCACCACGGCTCTTATATATGTTAAAAAAGGTTCATTAACTACGTCTTAAAGAATAAACAAGCAAAATATGTTACAAAGTGTAATAAGAAGCTTTTCAGACCACTATTAAAATTAATTGAATCGGGCGTTACTTTGCGGAAATCCATTATTAAAGATGAGAACTGCATAATAAAATAAAATGATGTTTTACCTAGTTTGAGGAGCACTGTTTGCCCTGCCTCGATTGCGTGCACTATCCCCATCACTACTAATGCCAGCATCACTTTGCTTCTTTGTGCTTTTTCGTCATGATAATGCCCCTGCCCATCGATCTGATGTTGTAATTGCAGCCATCCGAACTGTTGGGTTTCAGTTGATGCAACACCCACCATATTCTCCGGGCGTTGCTCCGAGTGATTTTCACCTTTTTTGCTCACCTGAAAAAGTATTTGCGTGGTATGAAATTCGACGGCGACGAAGAGGCGATGTGTGCTGTAGAGCACTTTTTCGAGTCCCAGGATCAAGCCTTTCTTTTCAAGGGAATTAACCAACTTACAAAACGCTATTCAAGGTGTATTAACTTAAAAGTCGATTACGTTGAAAAATAAACACAATTTACATATAATTATCCTAGAGTTTTATTGCGTTTCCAAAAACTTATTGATCAACCTAGTAAATAAAAAAAAATGTTTTATTTTTATTTTTTAAAAACCTTGTTGTGTCACATCCCTACTTTAAAGGGTTCATACAAATCCCCGCACCCCCACGCCTCTCTCTAAATCGATTGTAGGTTTTGTATATTCTTTCCAAATGAAAGCTGAGACAGTTGTATTATATATTAAATTTAGTTAATCATCAAATCTTGAGCCACTATTTTAATTAGCTTTATTAAGTGTTAAGCAAATATCTGGTTTTTACCTTTTGAAAATAAAGAACTTATTATAATTCATGTAACTGTTTTGAGACAAATAAACATTTTCATTTTTTTTTTCAATTATTATTAATTTAAAGTTGTTTTTTTTAGAATATTGTGAGGGCATCCTACGTTACCTATTCAGGATTACTACTTAGTAAATATGGCAGAGCAGCTCTATCAAGTTATATCATACTACTGCAACATCTTTGTTATACGCTCGATGGATTGGTATGTCATGCATTCGAATTTTGTAAGCTGTGTGGTAGCGGCGTTAAGGAATCGATCATCCCATTTTGTCCTGTGGGTGTTGTAAGAAGTGACTGCCGAAAGTGCCGGAAAAATCTAATAGCTTCAGGTAGACGGCCGTCTAACCACCCCATATACTACAGTCGTAAAATATCCAGGCGACGAGCAGCACCGTCAAAGTTGCATTGCGAGACGTCTGGTTATGTGATCATTAATCCGCCAGCCAAGTGTGAACAGAAAAGGCCCATGGTCATGTTTTTTTTTATAGGATAAGGGTGAAAAACGAGCACACAGTCCACCTGATGGTAAGTGGTTGCTGCGGCCCATAGACATCTACATCTATCCTCGTTTGCGAATCAAAATGCAGATGCGTTGTCACCCGTGAGGACTAAGATGGAATGCCTCATTCCCAGTAAAAAGGGCCTCCGGCCACCTGCACTCACCAAGCGAAACGCAGAGGTAAACCTCTACTTCACGCTGGTATTCTGTGAGGTCGTGGTACCACCCCGGTTCGAGCCGGCCCATCCGTGCGACAGCAAAAGCTGCCGCGTGGCTCTACCACTGTTAGAACAGTGTCATGCCCATGACTTTAACAGACTGAAGAAGAATTTTTTGTTTTATATTTTATATCTAGAGTAAAGCTGACAAATGATAACAGAGTCTGCTTGTTGTCTGTCTCCTCATTTGATTTGATTTTATGTTAATTGTGTGCTAAAACATATATAACATTTGTCTAAAGCAAATATAATAAATATAAATGTGAAATAAACTAGAAGACCTTAACTCTTATTTTCTCTTTTAACTTTTTAAAGAGCTTTACAAAAAGTCTAACAGTCAAAGACATTTAGCCTTTTTAACTATTATATTGTTATTCTTCTGTCATAAACTGATCTTCCTGTATTTTATTTCGCAGGAACGTGCTGAAATCCGTACAGCCCGCATGTCCTTAGTTGTTGGTCTTATGAGTCTTCTGCCTAAAAAATCCTACAAAGATACAATAAAGTGGCTTCTGAAATTGTCTACAACAGCAAAAGTCTCACACAGACAAATTGCTTTAGTAAGTCAAACCCCTTTATGTGTACCTGCGTGTGAGTGCGTGCGTGCGTGTTGTGTGTGTGTATCAATCCCGAGCGGCATCTATGAATGTGTACTGTTAATTGTACTTTGAAGAACTGATTCACCATGCGATCGGACAGCGCTGGAACGGCGCGGTAGACTTATTGCACCATAACCCCAACTGTTAGGCATAATATAGGCTAAGCTTTCCATTGACGTCCGTCGAGTTGGAGGTTGATATTTGTTTTACAGAAATTATAAGCACACAGGCAAAGTTTAATCATGCGGAAACGCATACTTTTTGAGAAAAAAATTATTGAAAATCAATTATTTTTGCAATATTTATGTCAATTCCTACCATAAAGCTGACGCTATTTTGTATTGTCATTGTCGTCGTCAGTAGGGATGTCGATTCTTTCCGAAAAATATCGATTTTTAAATCGATTCGAATCGTAAGCTTTCGATTCACAAAAAATCAATTTCTAAAATTTCTTATTTTTTCATGTTTGAATTTATAATGTAAATATAAATCCATTTTATGAAAAACAAGAAAGATACCATAATGAATGATCTCTTATTGAAATTTGTTTTATTTTAACAGTACCTATTAGGGCAGATAACAAATAAAATAGGTTAGGTTCAACTTATGTCAAAGAACCACATTGATTGACCCCGACTCCACCTGGTGCGAGTCTGTCCTACCCCTAGAATGGTTCTATAGAGCCGGAGGCGCGTAGGAGGAGCTTTTACCGCAGCGCCGGAGACGTAGCAGTCTCAAAATAGATACAGAAATCAACATCCCTACTGACAACGGCAATACAAAATGGCGTCAGTTTTACGGTAGCAATTGACATAAATATTGCAAAAATAGTTTATTTTCAATATTTTTTTTCTCAAAAAGTACGTGTCTCAGAATGTTGAAACTTTGCGTGTGTGCTTATAATAATGTAACATTTCTGTAAAAAAATATCAACCTCCAAATCGACAGATGTCAATGGGGATTGGCATAAATATTGCAAAAATAATTGATTTTCAACAATTTTTTTCTCAAAAAGTACACATTTCCGCATGTCGAAACTTTGCGTGTGTGCTTATAATAATGTAACCTTCCTGGAAAAAAAATCAACCCCCAACTCAACGGACGTCAGTGGAAAGTTACATTTGTAAAAAAAAACAATCACTTTGCATGTTGTGTTGCCGTATCGAATGAACAAATTGAACATATTCATTACATTTCACTCTTTCAATTCTGTCTAGTAGTAAACTTAAAAGTAAGCAACAAAATGCTTTTTAACTTCTTGGATAAAGTATATTTTAAATGTACTAATTATTTGCTGTTTTGAAGCTGTGATGGGCAGTAATTTACCTTGGTTGACTGACAGAAATTGTCACATTGTATTAAGTTCGCCCTATTTACCCTTAGCTTTACGGTGTTACATTCAATTTTTTAAATAATAAAATAACCAATGAGTATAATACGACTAGAACATCACGAGTGACAATAACAAAAAAATGATGGCGCGTTAGAAATCAGTTTGTCACTTATGACTGGTTGACTGTTTGTGACATGAGCGGGGGACGCGATTGAAATATACTACTGTGATGCTCTAGCCACTCATTGGTAACTTTGTCATAAAAATTAATTCAAAATATTTATTGCAGGAAATATTAAGTAAGTTTTTAACCAATGAGCCAGAAGAGTTAAAATCGAGCGAAACACCTTTGGAAAGACGAAATGAACAAGAATCAGGTACTTTCCAATTTGCATTTTTATGTATGCTTAATCTTTAAAAAATTAACGTTTATTAAAAAGTAAAAGCATCTTCAAAATTAAAAAAGATAAAAGAAAATATTAATAAGTTCAAAAATCATTTATCTTTCTGACAATGTGCTTTTTATATAATTTACTAGCTCGCCAGGCAGACGTTGTTCTTCCTTTTCCAATGACGCTTGCTATAAAAATCCTTAAATTCGCAATAAAATATTTTGAGGGTCATTTAGCGGGATAAAAACTATCCTATCTCTCAAGTTGGACCAAAATACACACAGTGTGCAAAATTTCATTGAAATCAGTTCAGTAGTTAAGGAGTCCATCGCGGACAAACAACGTGATACGTAATTTTTATATATAAAGATTATATGTTTAATATGATTGTTAGATACGATTTAATGCGACAAAGCGTTGGAATCTTGATTTTTATGCGCTAGTAGAACATACTTACGCGCTTTACGCTTAAGGCATGCAATAATTTTCATGAAGTTGATGTTTGTTATGTGGAAGAAGCTAGTATGTGGAATTTATTAACAATAAAAAGTTTTTTAAAGTCTGTTTTTTCTTCATATTTATATGGTTACTACTTACTCCCCCTGAAGTAATAACCTATTTCATAAAGGAAGAATAATTTAAAGCAATTCAGCTGTTTCCGAGAAATCGGTGAAAAAACATAAAGGAACACGCGTCGAATAAAGTACTTCCATGTTTTAAAAAAATATTACGATTTTTGGCTTGGATGCTTGTCATTTGAGCCATGTCTTCGGTATCATGTGATAATAATCCTTTACAGTAGTCTGTTTCACAATATGTTGATGCCTCACATTGCGCAGCCCTTGGGAGATTTTGACGGCAACTTGAGCCAGCAGACAGTTGGCGATTGTATCTGAAGGCGCCTAAGCAGACAGACACCTTATCTTGAGATTCACATCACCATCGGAGTACTTGTTTCACCGTTTTGACTAATAGTTCACATGCGTAGACATTTAATACACAAAATCGTACCACTTTTACATATCAAAATCCACTTAAACCATTATTTAAACAATAATACAGGAGCAGCAATCAGCCGCCGGTCAAGTTCCCGCCAAAACTCCCCATGATTTTTTTAACTCTGTTAATAAATACAGATTATTAACGAATGGAAGAACACCAAATAGTTTGTGGTATTATTGTTTTATTAATATGTTTTAGAATTAGCACCGTCCAGCAGGGTACATGATACACTAACCCACGATAAGGTTCAAGAATCAGATGTGGCAGAGGAAGACCAAACTTCATCTAATGATAATGATTCCACAGAAGACGAAAACAATCAAGATTTGCCAATAGAAATAAGAAATGTTGGTAAATTATACACAATGACATGCATGTCTCATTACTAGGTATCATAATATTCTCCTTGCCTATTTCGACCACCAACTCTCACTTATCGAACTAAAAAGTTAACAACTGTTACTCAGTAAGCACCTTAGTTTCCTTTAAATACCTGCGTAGCAGCTGTCACTTCTTGTCACTATTCTGTGATGTCAAATTTGAATCACATATATTTATTTCAGTTTAAGTTCATAAATTTTACAATTGGTTTTAAAATATAGACTAAAGCAATGAAAAATGTATGTGTATATTTATGCTTGCACCAATAATTACGGCGCTATAAAGTAGCCTTTTATTTTAATTTCCTGTACAAGTTTAACGAAATTCAAACTGAGATAATCTGTTAGATTAAAGCCATTTCAAGTTTTAACCTAAAGATTTGCCTATACTCATAACATTGTGCAGGCGGGTTAATAAACGCAGAGTCAATGTCCTCGTAGGCACTATAATGCTGATACACTAGTCTTTGGAATGTGGGTTCGTTACTTTTGAAAGGATATATCACCATTTGGCGATCGCCTGTGTTAATACGCACTATGTGCAGATGAGGTTGTTATTTGGTCAATCCCTTTTACACTTCATAAAGTATCCTTATGAACAGAAAGACAACACAGAAATATTTTATCGCAATAATAACTCAACTAAGCATACATTGCCGTGTAGTGGCGGTTAAGAATATCCACTACCCCATATCTTCCCGTGGGTGTCGTAAAAGGCGACAAAGGAAAACAGGCAGGAGATGGGAAGCAGCATCTTCCTGATAACAGCAAATATTAGAATAAAAAACTGCGGTTGCCAACCCGCTCGCCAAGCGTGGCAACTATGGCAATATACCCCCCCCATGAGCAATGACAATAATAAACGGCCCCCAGTCCCCGGCGGCCTCGCTATTCCTGGCTACGGTGGCGACCATGGTAACGGCGGGGCAAGGGGTGCTAAGAATCTCCGGTGGCGGTTCGGTTGCCACCTAAGACGACCTGACCTGGCAACATACAACGCACGCACCCTGAGGACTGACGAGAAGATTGTGGAGCTGGAAGAAGAGATAGACAAGTTACGCTGGCATATTATAGGATTATCCGAAGTCCGAACAGAGGGGGAGCAATTTGTTCTATCACCGGGAGGGCGACCATCTGTTCCAAGGAGGTGTCGGATTTATCGTCCACAAGTCTCTCGTTAACAACGTTGTAAATATTGAGTGTGTCGGCGAGGGTTGCGTACCTTATACTTAGTATCACCCAAACGGTATTCGCTGAAGGTCATACAGGTTTACGCACCAACCTCGGCACACCCCGATGAGGAGGTGGAGGAAATGTATGAGGATATCTCTAGAGCCATGCATTCCTCCAAAACCCACTATACGGTGTTAATGGGAGATTTCAACGTAAAACTAGGCACAAGAGAGAACGGTGTGCTGAAATTAGGGAAATTCGGAATAGGGCAACGGAAACCAAGGGGCCAGCAGCTGACCGACTTCATGGAGAAAGAGGGACTCTTTATGATGAACTCTTTTTTCCAGAAGCGGCCCCACAGGAAGTGGACCTGGTCGAGCCCTGACGGTTCCACAAAAAATGAGATTGACTGCATTATGACGACCAGACGACAACTGTTCAGTGATGTCTCCGTGATCGCGAGGGTGAAAACTGGTAGCGATCACCGAATGGTTAGAGGCACAGTGAACCTAAACGTTAAGTTGGAGAGGTCTCGTCTAATGAAGTCAACGCTCCGTCCCCCTCGTGATCTGTTCTAAAGTCCCGAAACCTTTCAGCTCGAGTTACAAAACCGTTTTCAGTGCCTAGAAGACTGCAATGAAGTGGACGATATGAATGACAAGCTCGTGGAAACTGTCCATGCGGTCGGAGCTAAGTTCTGCAAGACCCGCCGCAGACGAACACAAAAACTCTCCGATCACACTCTCAATCTCATGGCTGTTAGACGGGAGATGAAGCTACATTCTTCAACAGATTTGACAGCATACAGGCAACTGAACAGACAGATCTCCAAATGCATGCGGCGGGACTTACGCAACTTCAATACAGCTTGTATTGAAGAAGCGATCGAGCGGAACCAAGGCTCCAAAGTCTTTGCCAGAGCTCTGTCTGCCAGAAAGAGCCAACTGTCAAGGCTGAAGACCGAATGTGGCAGCATCGTTTCCGGGGCACCTGAGATTTTGAGTGAGATTGAAAGGTTCTATGGGCAGCTGTACACGTTATCGTTGGAGCCACACGCAAGTGTGAGTAATGATCCAAGAGCGAGTCTTATCCGACACTATTCCGAAGATATCCCGGACGTCAGTCTGAGCGAGATTAGAATGGCTCTCCAGCATCTTAAAAACGGCGAGGATGGAATTACAGCGGAGCTTCTGAAAGCGGGTGGAAGACCGGTACTTGAAGTCCTTCAGAAGCTCTTTAATTCCGTCCTCCATGGTGGCGTTACACCGGAGGCGTGGAGCAGAAGTGCGGTGGTCTTGTTCTTTAAGAAAGGTGACAACGCTCTCTTGAAGAACTACAGACCGATTTCCCTTCTGAGCCGCGTCTACGTGCTGTTTTCGAGAATCATTACGAATCGTCTCGCGCGCAGACCTGACGACTTTCAGCCTCCCGAACAAGCCGGTTGCCGAAAGGGCTTTAACACCATAGACCACATACATACCCTTCGGCAAATTGTACGGAAGTCCGAGGAGTACAATTTGCCACTATGTTTGGGCGTATGTGGACTATGAGAAAGCCTTTGATTCCGTCGAAATTTGGGCGGTGCTGCAGTCCCTTCAGCGGTGCCAAGTTGACTGTCGGTATATCAAAGTGCTGAAGTGTTTGTACAGTAGAGCTACGATGGCTATCCGACTACAGAACCAGAGTACGAAACCTATCCAATTGCAGAGAGGTGTAAGACAGGGTGATGTTATATCCACGAAACTCTTCACCGCTGCATTGGAAGACACTCAAGCTTCTGGACTGGAAAGCATACGGTGTTAACATCAATGGCGAGTACATCACTCACCTTCGATTTGCCGACGATATAGTCCTTATGGCGGAATCTCTGGAGGACCTAAGCACCATGCTCAATGACCTCAATAGTGTCTCCCAACGATTAGGTCTTAGGATGAACATGGACAAAACAAAGATCATGTTTAATGTCGCTTCCTCATACAGCCAGCAGTGAAGGACCCCGTCTTAGTTCCATAAGTCAGTACTGGCACAACACGCACTGTTTTTTCATGTCACACCTTTGCCGGTAGTTGTTGGGAGCACTAAGCTCGAAGTTGTTGACGAGTGTGTTTACCTGGGACAAATAGTCCGACTAGGTAAGTCCAACTTCGACCGAGAGGTCAATCGACGGATTCAACTCGGCTGGGCAGCGTTCGGGAAACTACGACACATCTCGTCAGACGTAGCTCAAAATCTTAAAACGAAATTGTACAACCAGTGCGTGTTGCCAGTGATGACTTACGGATCTGAGACGTGGTCCTTCACTGCTGGCCGTATGAGGAAGCTCAAGGTCGCTCAGCGAGCTTTGGAGGGGGCTATGCTCGGAGTTTCTCTGCGTGATAAACTTAGGAATGAGGATATCCGCAGTAGAACCAGAGTAACCGACATAGCCCATCGGATTAGTAAGCTGAAGTGGCAGTGGGCCGGCCATATAGCTCGAAGAACCGACAACCGATGGGGAAGAAAGTTTCTTGAGTGGCAGCCTCGTACCGGTAGGCGAAGTGTAGGGCGACCCCCCACGAGATGGCGTGACGACCTGGTAAGACATGCAGGAAGTCGATAGGATGCAGGTGGTTCAGGACCGTGCTTTGTGGCATTCCTTGGGGGAGGCCTATGTTCAGCAGTGGACTTATGAAAGGCTGTAATGAATGAAAAAAAGAAGCATACATAAGAAAAACACTATACGCACAATGTAAAAAAAGTATATCAAATAACACTTTCACTTAAATTTTTTTTTGCTCAAGCACCAACTATATGACCTTAGTTTAAAATAAATATGGTGTATATGAATTGTCAAAAAGATGCAAACTTAAATACAATAATATGCAGACTGATTTATCGTATCACATGAAGCATATTAATGAGTACATTTCAAATACATCTCACTCGTATATTAATTGTTAATGTTAGTTCACTGCAATTAAGTTTTTGTGTGACAAACGAGCTAGAGGATAGTGTGGCCCATAGACGCCTACTTTTATCCTCGATTTAGAACGAACAGCAGATGCGTTGTAACCCCTAAGGACCAAGATGGAATGCCTCATTATCAGTAAAGGGTCGCCGGTCATCACCATATGAAAGACAGCAGCATTTTTACGCTGGATTATGCTGCTGTTTTACACTGGTATTCTGTGAGAGTATGGTCCTTCCCCGGTCGAGTCGACCCGTCACCAATTGGCCTGACTCATCGTGAATAGTTCAGCTAGACCGGGGAAGGATGCTGCAGCCATAATATATATATGCAGCGTAGCTCCACCATGTAAATTCTTTTTTTAAACATCGATATATATGTACTACGTACTAGATTTCGCATTCCGAAGATTCACTATGTTCAGTTCAGTTAACTGTACTGGAATCCGTACACCTTACCTTAGTGTCATTTATGTGGCTTCAATATTCATGCAGTGTGGAGCGGCGTTAATAATACGAGATTTCAAATTACAGTTTAAGCCTGGACGTAAATAACAATTCAATAGTCAAGTAAGTAAAATTATTTGTTGTTCAAGTGAATAAATAAGTAATAATATCGTAATATTACACTAGAAAAAATAAATTTCTTCATTTAAATGCCACGCTATCTACAATCATAGACTAAAACATGCATGTTCCATTACAAACCGAATGCGCATGCGCGACTACTATCTCCCGCAAATGCGCAAGATATTTTTTGTTTGGAATAGCTTCTCTAGTACGTAGTACATATAACTCAATGGTTTTAAATAATATTTTTACACTTTTTACATTTTGATGCTTTTATACTGTTAAATGTAGGCAGAGCAGGAGCTGACAGAAGAAGAGATCGCGAATGTTCTACGGAAGCGTGCGCATACAGCTCCGCATGCAGAGATCGTACGTGCACTGTACGAACGGGTGAACGACGCGTCGAGCGCCTTGCGAATGCGCGCGTTGGCCATACTTACCGAATGTCTTGAAAGCACACACGCCCCATTGCAAGAAGCCATCAAGGTTTGTTATAAACTGACTTTTTGTTATTGTTGATATAGGTAATATTAACTAGTCTTATTGAAGGAATAAAAGATAATCCTTTGTTGGATCATTTTGTTGCCGTCATAATTGAGTTTTCCCTTTTCTGTCGACTTCCAAAAAGGAGACGGTACTCAATTCGACTGTGTTTTTTTTTGTGTGTTACCTTATAACTTTTTAATGGGTGAACCGATTTCGATGATTCTTTTTTTATTTGAAAGCTGATACTTCTCGTGTGGTCCCATATCATTTTCTTTGTTGTTGTTTGTTCCCATATAATTTGATCAAGGTCAGATCAATAGTTATTTAGTTATTCTTAATAACCTATATTGAAGTCGGCTGTACAAAATTTTTAATTTTTAATTATTATTACCTCGTTAGTCTAACTGTCGTAAGCGTGACTGTTGATCACGTGGCTCCGGGTTGGGCCTGTGTAGTTTTTTTCTATCAAGAAATTATTTATACCAGCCTATAGTCAGGAATTTGGTGGTGTTTCACTTCCGTGTCTCGTAAGTTCGCATGTTCGCAAAAAGCATATAAAGCCGCTGGTCCTGCGCTTGATCTCTCTCCGGCCGTATTGGATTGCCGTCCCATCGGATTATGAGATTGAGGGAATAAAGAGTGTACTTGCTTGTCTCCGTTAAGTCGATTGTTAGACTTAACGGAGACTTTTCTCGCGAATGTATTTGATCATGTCTCATTAAATAAAACTTATGTTTCTAAATATATAACCCAACGCTTCTCCACATATCAAGGTCTTTCCAACCATATTTTAATGCGTACCGAAACTTGGGAGGAGCACGCGGTACTTTCTCGAGGCACCTTTCCGCGTGCTCTGACCTTGACTCTCTGATATTTTACTAGGTGGTAAGACTCTTTTTTCTGTCGAGGAGTCAGTCTGGGCTGGTAACAGTATTTTGTCTATTTCTGTCGTTAAGCAGCAGTGTTGTTTTCAGGTCTAAAGGCTATAATAGAAAGCAAGTATAGTTACAGGTTCAGAGATATTCCATCTTAATCCTCAGAGGTACAAAGCATCTGTAGGTTTCTTTGTTTGAAGTTGGTTGCAGATGTCAATGGGCTTTAGGAGCCACTTTACTATCAGATGGATTCTTAGTTCGCTTGTCACTTTAGTATAATGAAAAAACATGCGTGAGCGTCGTGGAACACTCGGTTGGAACGAAGTTGTTTTCATAGTATATTATTATTGATAAACGTATTATATTATTGATTAACAAATACCAGGAAATGAATTACTAGCGCCTATTCAAATGAAGCGTCATTTAAAATAATACTTCTTTCATGGCAAGATAAGAAAAAGTGCAAGGGAGAAGGATATTATTCCATCTCGCTCGCAGTATGAAAAGGGTCGTGACGGAAAAATTTTACACTTTTCTCGCCTAGCCCCCATCCGTCGAATTCGTACCGTATAAGGAACTTCGTTCCAAAAGATATTACACTAACTACGCTACTACTAACACGACTACTTTTACGCACACAACTTACTCGCCTTCATTTTTATCCTGACTTGTATGTATTTATGTTTGTAGAATATAATAAAATTTTATTTCAGTTTTCATGTAATTTGCACGTCGGTATAATCTAAAATTTTGGTGACTTGTTAAAAACTGATAACAATACAATAATTTCATGAATATGATCTTGTTAGGTGGCTGAGGACCGTGCTTTGTGATGTACGGCCGTAATGTTAATGATTATTATACTAACATTAAGCCGCGTCTCCACCAAAGTTTTGTTACCAACTTTTGTGTTGCCAACACGTGTTGGTAACAAATGTTTCTGTAATTACCTAGTGTTGGCAACAAAACTTGAAACAATGTCGGGAACCGTGTTTCCGTTTTCGGCGACAATATCAAAGGAATACGCTTGTTGTATACATTTGTTCCCTCGGTGGAGACGCTTGTTGGAAACATTTGTCGGCAACATCGGAAACAAATGTTGGTAACTTTTGTTGAGTTGGAAATAGTTGGAAACATAAATGTTGTCAACATTTTTGTGGATACGTGGCTTAAGTGTTTAAATTTTACTAACATAATATGCAAAATGTGAAATAAAAGATGATTGTATAGAACGTGTACAAGTTAAGGCAAGGAGTAGGAGAGTGTAATGTGTGTGAATGTTGTTTGCGAAGGAGTTGAACGGGGCGGGGGAGGTGTCGCGGCTGGTGGTGGTGGCGGCGCGCTGCGCGTGCGACGAGCGCGCCGTGGTGCGGCGCGCGGCCGCCGCGCTCGTGCAGCGCCTGCTGGCCGCCGCGCCCCGCCCCCAGCCCAACGACCTGGCGGTACGTACTAACTGGACACCATCACATCACCCCCCTTCCGCTATTGAGAGGACCATTCAATTCAATTTAACTCAATTTCAGCCATAGTTGGTTAGCCAATGTTAATTTCAAGTGCGCGAGCAACCCGGCTCTATCTCCGCCGGCACCAATGAAATTGTTAGTACAATTTTAAATGCTGATGTACCACGTCCTCGACGTTGAAGGAACATTGTGAGGAAACCTGCATGTTTGAGAAATAAGAAAAAAAAAATTCGAAGACATGTGAAGTTCGCCAACACTCATTAGAGCAGCGATGCGGACATTTCCTTGCCCTAAAAAATAAATAATCCCTCTCAGAAATGACAGTAGGCCTGTGACAAGCAATGGGACGTATATAGGCTGTAACTTTTTTTACAACTTACGGGCTAGTTCACAGTGACAAGGACCTAACGTTGTGAGAGATTAAAGCTTATTATAAGTTTTATAATAAAAACCTAAGTCACATGTCACCAGCCCCTGATAGGTTACATGTTTAATCACTTGTTTTATTAACCCAGTATGTATAGGGTCTTAGATCATCATAATATACACAGAGGTACATCATAAAAAAGAGATTCAAGTGTATTCCTCTGTTAACCCTAATGATATTAGAACAAACATTTTTAGGCTACAATCTGTATCTACCGCTGCCATGCTCCTAAGTTTGGTTTCTTGCATGAAACCGAACTAGAAACCTTTTAAAATTCCTAAAATTGACCAGTCATTCCGCCGGGATTTACACATCAAGAAGACAAATTTAATGAACGTAAAAATAAAATACCCATTCTGGGGCAGTTAAACCAGTCCGTATTATCAAGTTGTTGGCATATTTTAGTGTAGTCTCCAAAATTATACAGGAATTTACTTCTGGTTTGCGGTGAAAGCGTATGTTGGTGGATGAAGCCAACAGATATACATAACGCGTGATGAGGATCTTCCGGAACTAAAGGACTAACATCTATAACGTTATTGCAAAAAATTAGATCCAGAGTTCTGTTGTTACAGTTTAGTTGACTATTATATTGAGATAAGGAACATAAATTAAGAGTATCAAAAAATCCGATTGAAGGAGACCTTGAATATTAAAAGAGCATTGAGATTGTCCATCGTTAGCTAACTGCCATATTATATTCGGCAAATTAAAATCACCTAGAATTTAAAAATCGTCTGTGAAGTTATTTAACACAGTATCATTTAATTTACTGTAGAAACATTATAATTGCTGTATTAAAGAATTACCTAAGTTTTGACAGCATATATAAACAAGACAAATATTTAATTTGTAACACATATTAGGCGATGCACGCTTTAGGGCCAGAGTAATCCATATATCCTCAGCTCATGAACGCCATTCAGTGCGATCAAAAACTATAAGCTCTCGTCGAACAGCTATAAGAACACCACCCCCCATGCTTTTCCCATGCGTCCATCAAATAATTTACTGTCAATGAAGTCCATTCAACAACAACACAACAAGTTGTGTCCTTTCATCTTGTGCCAGTTTTGCTATTGTTTATACTCCAAGTCATTTTAATTTTATTAGAGGCATTCTTAATTTTATATCTTAAATGTAAATACTTGACTGTGGAACACACTTTTAAATATTTTTGAATATTTTTTTTACATATTCTCTAAATTATACACTATGATTATAATATGTTATTTCATTGTAAAGGTCAAAAAACTTTTGTCTACTCCTATCGATTCCTACTTTCGTCCATTCATTAAACGATTTGCAACTGCTTAGAGAGAGTGGTTTAGAAGCAAATATTTTATTAAATTCAAGACATAAGTTTAAATAATGATCCATATGAATAGTCAGTGTTGTTTTTATATGGAAGAAATGGCAGCATTTTCACTATATTACTTTTAAATTCCTCTAAGCTATGTTCATTTATTGGAACAAGCACAACTTTCTTTACTTTATATTTTTTGTATATGTAAGGTAATTAATTATACCAAGTGTCCACAGTGATCAGAATTTAAATTTTGAATAAATTTTTTTATAGGATAGGGTGACAAACGAGCACACAGTCCACCTGATGGTAAGTGGTTGCAGTGACCCATAGACGTCCACATCTATCCTCAATAAAGAATCAAAATGCAGATGCGTCGTCAGCCTTGAGGACTAAGATGGATGCATCTTTTCCAGTAAAAAGGATCGCCGGTTCTCTACACTCACCATACGAAACACAGCAGTGTTAAGCTGCTATTTTACGCTGGTATTCTGTGATAGCGTGGTACTTCTCCGGTCGAGCCGACCCATTCGTGCTACAACTATACTATAAATACAGCTGCAGCATGGCTCTACCACGTACAAAATTAATTTATGTAAGGGGTATGTTTATGTAAAGTTTATGTAAATAATGATCTAAACTTAATACTCATGAAAGGAGTTTCAAGGAGATTGATTCTCCACATATCACACATGACAATAGATTTTTCATTAAGTTCATTAAGTTTAAGTAAAACCTTCATATTTTTAGGGTTCCATACCTCAAAAGGAAAAACGGAACCCTTATAAGATCACTTTGTTGACCGTCTGTCTGTCTGTCTGTCAAGACCCCTTTTCTCAGGAACGCGTGGAGGTATGAAGCTGATATTCATATCAAATACTCAAGTCTACGGTCCCTTGGAGCTGTGAAAAAACCAAACTTCTCAGCCAACGCAATCAAAAGATACAGCCGTTTATGCCGCAAATTTTCGACATTCGCAAGGGAATCAAAACCTACAGGGTACTTCCCGTGATCTCAGAATCTTAAAATTAGGTACGAAGTAACGTATTATAGCACATAAAGGAAAAATTGCGAAAAGCATAAATTTTTAGTTACATCATATACTAAAAATATTTTTAATAATTTTAAACTTATATACCTGCGGATTTGTTCGGAACCCTCGTTGCGCGAGTCCGACTCGCACTTGGCCGGTTTTCTTTTTCAAAATAATCATACATATAATGTGGGGTCTGTAAACACTAACAACAATGAGGAGCTCGAACTCGACACATGCCATTTCTACAGTTCGCTCAACACAGAGGCACACAATATCCTTACCTTCTTTACATAATAATTTTGTTGGCTTATATTAAGTAGTCACCACGAAAATGTTTTTCTCTGTTATATTGTGCTAGGTACTATAATTTGAGCCTGACAAAGTATGATATAAATGAACTATATTTTCATGGACATGCAGATACATGAGCAAAAATCTGAAAGGGGTTTATTTTCCAGATTCTCGTGGGACTGTGTCGCGATGCTAGTATTCTGGTGCGCACAACGGCTATCACAGGTCTTAGCGAGCTTGTGCTGCAACAGCCCAGTGAGATGATGCTAGATGCTTTTCTTACAGGACCAATGCATCAGCTTTCTGATCCTGAAGCTAAGGTGAGTTTTCAACACTTCAATATTAATCTTAAATAAATCAGTATTAATTTATCATTAATGTCGAATGAAATACTGTTAAGCTTCATCAACTTGTTTTTTTGATTTAAAGTTAATTTCAAATTTTGGCAGTGTTTCGAGTATGTTATGAAATAAAGAACAGTAATTGTCATAATAGTTCATGCTAATAGTTTCATATTTATTTTTAAAATACCCTCCTATGCCATCTACATACATATGCACAATATGGGATGTTTTGTAAACAATTTATCGCAATTTATTTAAAAATTTAAAGGTTCAAGAACAAGTGGTAACGCATATCCAGCAAATATTATTCGAACGAATACGTAAGCATACTGCGACGGAACAAGAGGACCGGCTTCCGTGGTTGTTCCTTGACGGGATCATCCGGCATAACATGCGTAGATACCTGCAGAAGGCTTGCGCGCTCCTCGATAAGTCTTCCAAATGTATTAAGTAAGTTTTAAAAATCAAGTGCACTCTTTTGTTTCAGTCAACCATGATGATATATTTTTTTTCTACAAAATTAACTGTTTAAGACAATTTTTAATAACCTGGCGACCGATTGTTGGCGGAAAATCCATCCAAGTATGCCTAATTCAAATCCTTCAAACCGATGATGTGTCGTGTTCTTAAAAATATCCACAATAGGATTCAAAAGGCTTGTAAGAAAAAAAGTATTATCGCATACATGAAGACATTCATTTGATACGTTAATATAAGATTGAAAGAAGGTGAAATGTCAAAATCGTTTCGTGTGCAGTACCATAGTTACTTGTGTTCTCCTATATTCGATTCAAGAATCAGCAACTGCAAGGCAATGCAAGGATGCAATGTAAGGCAATGCGAATGCAGTGACCTACAAATTCACGTGTCATCATGTCAATCTATTTTTTTTTTATAGAATAAGGATGACAAACGAGCACACAGTCCACCTGATGGTAAGTGGTTGCTGCGGCCCATAGACATCTACATCTATCCTCTATTACAAATCAAAATGTAGATGCGTTGTCAGCCGTGAGGACTAAGATTGAATGCCTCTTTTCCAGTAAAAAGGGTCTCCGGTTCTCTACACTCACCATACGAAACACAGCAGTGTTAAGCTGCTATTTTACGCTGGTATCCTGTGAGAGCGTGGTCCTTCCCCGGTCGAGCCGACCCATTCGTGCTACAACTATACTATTAATATAGCTGCAGCATGGCTCTACCACGTATGAAATGTGTTTATGTAAGGGCTCAACACAAGTATTATAGCAATATGTGGAGGAGCTGTCCTTTTTTTATAAAATTGAAGTGACCAACAAGCGTACAGTCCATGGATGATTAAGTGTCCACTGTAGTCCATGGACAGCTACAGCCAACTACAAACAAAGAAGGCTAAGATGCGTTGTCACCTCTAAAGACAAATATAGGGAATGCCTAATATCCTGTAATCATACTGACTCTCTATATGCTTTAAAACGAAACACAGCTGTGCAAGCTCTGCTATTTGGTGGCAGAAATAACAATAAGTAAGCGGATACTGTCTACTCAGACGGACTTCTAGGCAGAAAAGGAGTCTTACCAACTAATGACCTAGACCTAGACTAAGGCCCGTATTAATAAACGTTACTCAGCTCATGTACACGCACTTGAGTACAATATTGAGGTGGTATAATCTTATTAATAAACATATCTCAAGATGCGGTTTAGGTTCGATACCATCTGAGTGCCACACTGATTAATAAACGAAATTCGACTCTCAAGTGTGTATACTTGAGTGCAAGTCACAGAACAGTATTCCTAAGTACAGCGTTTTAGGATACTGTTTTTATGTATTTATTAATTAGCAACGATCTTAAGATGCTGATATCCTAATGAGGGCGTATCAAATGATAACGCACTTGAGTTCGTCCTTGAGTCACGTTTATTAATACGCGCCTTAGAATCTAGTAGTTAGTTCGCCTTTATTTAGATATAGCTTTATGTAGTACACACACGCGTTATCAGCCGCATAATGATTTTCGACGTTATTAAAGAATTCGAATTATATTAGCTTGGGATTCAAAATGTGTTGTTGGTGATATTGGCGGCCAAAACGATTTGATAAATGAATATGATGGTGCTGATAATCGTGATACCTTGGCTGATTTCGACTGAAAGTTAACATTACTAGGGACATTGTTATACCACAAGCGTTTACCACGTGCTCGGCGGTGAAGGAAAACATCGTGAGGAAACCGGCATGTCTGAGAAATAAGAAAAAAAATATTTCGAAGACATGTGAAGTATGCCAACACGCCTTGGGGTAGCGCGGTGGACATTTCCTTGCCCTAAAATCCTCTCAGAAATTAGAGGAGGCCTGTGCCCAGCAGTGGGCGTATATACGCTGTCACTTTAACTTTAACAAGTGTCCGGGCTAACACAGAAACACTCACTTGTCCTAACTTACCCGTGTCCCATGTAACTTTTATACGATAATATCGGAGGCTCGCTATCGCTAGCTGCAGAGTCTGTCATTGTTATCTAACAAGTTGTTTCTTTGCATAAATATTGCCTCCGGTTGAGATTGAACTTGCAACTTTTTATGTAGAAACAATGTATTACGATTGTTATAGGCTACGCGATTTTCTAATGCAGATTAATAAACTGTTGACAGTCATCGCATTGTGGACGCAGTGAGTACGCACTTAGGCGCAGTGGATGAGCTTCGTGACCTGCAGTGCCTGGTGTTGCTCACTAGCGTGGCGCGACACGTTGAATACTCCGATCTCGCCTTCCTCCTCGAATACTACTACAAACTGGACCGCGATGCCCAGGTATCTAGCAATCGTATTTAAAAACAAACGTTCTGTGTTTAATTTTCGTATGTATTCACTTTTTATGTATATTTAAAAAAAATCTTGAATATATTATAACTTTTTACTGTGTTTGTTAAATAAATGTTTTTCTATTTTAAGAATAAAAAATAAAATACTACTATTCTTATGGTTATTCTAATAAAATATGAATATAAATATTAACACAAGTTAGGTAGCAAAAAACCTTTTACAACGGCGCTTAGTTTTAAAATGCCATTGCCAAATTCTCCTGCGGGTGTACGACGCGCGCGGCGACCTTTGATGTCGCGGTGGAGCCTTTGACAAGATGTGGCATGTGCCAAAGCAACGTTACATAAAGGCAAGACAGTATCTAAGCGAACAGACTTTACTTTAGACGTTTACTTTTTTATTTTATATTTTTATTTAAAAAATAAATATTATTTCGCACCACCAATAAATAGCTCAGTCTTGTCAGATGGTCATTAAGATTTTTAATTTTCACTTTCAACTATTTTCTAAATTCCTTGCATTTATGTTGTGTTTAATCAATAAAAAGAAATGACACTTTACTTTTTTATAGTGGCGGCGTAAGATAACCCTCTACCCTATATTATCGTCCCGTGGGTGTCGTTAGAGGCGCCATAGGAAATGAAACTAGAGATGGGTAGCAGCACCTTTAGAGGAACATAATAATAATAAAAGAACTGAGCTTGCAAACCCGCCTGCCTTAAGTGACAATTAAGGCATGTTAATTATTGTGTGAATTAGTAATTATAGGGGGGATCCCTATGAGGTAATCTATGGGGAAACCTATTTTCATCTGTGCATTTTGATAGGCTATATTGGATAAATTAATTAATGAATAATGAACTGTTGGTTGTTGGCATGTCTTTTATGCAAGCGGCCATGCTAACGTTGGTGATAACGCAATATTTAACGACGTTTAGCGTTAGTCACGCACCGTAATCCGAATAAAATCGGACGTGACAGCAAATAACTAGGTATACCCCGCTACTGATAACAAGATTGACAGATTCATTGTCAGTATTCTTAAATTAGTTACAATATGGGAACGAACGAGTAATTTTTCCGTTTTCGTCTTATTCATATATGTTTTATGTTTGACAACAATACCAACTGGTGGTAAGTGGTGATGAAACATTTCATAGTAAATCGCACTTTCTTTTGATTTCATAGTAAAGCAAACTAAAAACTTATTCACTCTTGTCTTGAAAATACAGCCAGACCAATATTATCTATCTGCGTAAAGGTACAAGATATTCGAATACTGGCTTTACTACTGGAGCTGCTGACCGCGTGGTCAAGATGGCTGACTGCGTCTGACAGGGAGGCGCTCAGAGCACACCTAGTGCAAAGACTTGCCACCGCTACAAATGCCGCCGATGATGGTAACACTACCTCTACTATTTTAAGTTCCTTCATGAAAATTTATTCCCAATTATTATTATTAAGACAATGCTAATAAAATATTTAAAAAGAGCTGACGGTGCTACTACCCTATATCATCCCGTGGGTGTTTTAAGAGGCGCCAGAGGGAAATTAAATAGGAGATTGATAGCAGCACCTTCTTAGTTTAAGTGTGGCGACTATCCCCTTGCTATCCATATAGCGGTATATATCTTAGGCCTATATTTAGCAGTGGATTTGTATTCTGTGATGAATGAATAAATAAATGATGTAGCAGCTCATGGGCTAAATGCTGGTCTTATATTATTTTATCTTTAGCCACCGGCACAAAATATGTTTGTTTGTTGATTATTTATTTGTGTTAAAATTCAACGTGTACTTTAAGGTTGTAGAGCCGCGTGCGCTACTCTAGCAGCTCACTTGGACCCAGAAAATTTACAGTGGGCGACAGAACTCATGCAAATTGGTAAGTTTTTTTTGTACTTTTTACCTTTTAGCAAAATCCATATACAACACGTAACATAATGTTGCGCGCCACTATTAATGTCTTGTACATGGTAACACTAGTTATACTAGCGCCCTCTAGTGTCGAGTAAAAGAAAGTGTTGCGCGCCACTATTAATGTATTGTACATGGCAACACTAGTTACACTAGCGCTCTCTAGTGTCGAGTAGCAGAACTAGGGGAGTCGAGATCCTTCCAGAGATTTCGGGATCGATATGTACTCGAACATTCTAGATGTCGCTTCAGTAGAAGGTTCTGGAAACTATCTAAGGCCCTATATAAGGCCGGTATGGACCACGACCGGGGCAGTATTGAATTGTCGATACAAGAGAATACTTCGAAGCGAAATAATTGCGAACCAAAGTGAAAATTGTGTTTTATAATTGTTTGGTTTTAGATTGTAATTAGTGTTGTGTAATTAAAGTGCCAATTTTGGTAATTCTATCGGCAGTTTTTAATTGTCTCGAACCCCAAGCTCGTAACAATAATTAACGCACTTTGAGAAAGTAGATTGTTCAGAATCGTTTACTGAATCGATTTCTATCATTTTTAATATAGGTAATTTTTTATCCCAAAAATAATAGAAAATACGTAATTTACAGTCTCACTAAACTTGTACAGTCAAAACAAATTGAAATGGACCGTAACTCAAGGCGATAAGACTTTTAAAAGTGCAGTTTTATTTGTATTAATATAAATTCCGTCATTCAATACAAAGTAAAGAAAATTGAACCTTATTTCAAGTATGTTAAAGTCTACAAATACAGAGTTTGGAGTGCCTTATTTGGTCACGTCGGTCAGGCCATTGACCTCCCAGATCACCTGATTTGACGCTTCGTGATTTTTTTATGGGGACGTATTAAATCATTAGTTTATTTTAGTGAGACAACAAGTGCCGAGGACCTAAAAATAGTAATTCTATGAGTGAACGATTTTAGAATAGTGAAAAATGACACTGAATTGCTTTCTTTATTATTTTCTTTCTTTTTTAAAACGTGACCTCCACAATGTGGATTTTCTCTTGTATTGTGGGGGCAGTGTACAAACATAAATTGCACAAGGACAAACAGTCAGACCCGGAACAATTATTTGTAGGCCATACAAATATTGTTCCGTGCGGGATTCGAACTCGCGGTCCTTAGCGCTGCAACTCAATTGCTAAGTCACTGCGCCACGGAGCCGTGGTGGACATTTTGAAAATGTATTAAAATACAACGCTGCATGAGAGCTTAGGCTATCAGTAAGTTAAATATTTGATTCTTAAAATTATTGTAATCTTGATTCACATGTTTTAAACACGCCGTCTTTGAATTATGTTGTCGTAATTCCCTCTTAGTTTTAGCAGCTCATTATTATTTACAATTACAATTAAAATGTTATGCAAATTCATAACATTTTGTAACGAATATTGCCTATTGACATTGTATCATAATCAATAAACAAAATTATTCAGAGTCGACAGTCCAAAGATTGAAAAGTGTGATGGAAAAATGGAATCAAATGTTTACTAGACCTAATAAACAACTCGATGCTCGGATTACGAACATCAGTTAGTGTTCATAGGTAGGTATTTTTTTAACATAAATTGTGTATTGTCGGCTTTTTTCGGCACTAATACCTACCTACAGTTAAGTCATGGCGGCTCTTCACGTTGGCCAACATAGTGGCGAATGTGTTGGCAAAGATATTGGCCAAGAATTTGAGACCGCGTCCACACGTTGGAAGGTCGTTCAGTTTGCTTCGGTTCAGGCCAATGTGCGGACGATTTTATTAAAATGATTATTGAAGCGCTAACGGCTGCCGCGGTTTATTTATTCACAGCATACCACTATTTTTTTATTTAATTTTCACTATATTTAATATAAATTTTTAACATTTCTTTATTATACACTAACGTTATACAGATAAGTAAACTATATAAACTTTAACACACCTAGGCATAGGTATAATTAACACTTTTACAACTAAGGCCTGGAAAATATTCGAAGCCTGTCTATGAAACTGTTGTAAAATTTTATTAAACAAAACCTTTTTAAAAAGGGTTATTCTTATTATATAATTATAGAATAAAACTTAATAATAATAATAATAAATAATTTATTTCGTCAAACATTAAAGTTACATTATATGATCAGTGATCGAGGTCACCTAGTAAGCAAAATAATGCCTGTAATGGCG